TACAGGTAGAGGCCTTGAGACGAGCTGATCACTCGCACAAGGAGTCCTACCGAATGTCTAAGACCTAGTAAACCGAAGTGAANTCCAATGCCGAGATCAAGAATGGTGGAGCTACACCCCCACTCCCGCATCCGTCTTCATGGCGTGGTGCTTAATTAAGCCCAGAGACAACTTTAATTCTGCTTAATTAACTGAGCCCGCAACAGGTTGCCAATGGTTTGGTTCCCCTCTCTCCGCAAGATGGCATTAGAATACAGACATGAACACCACAAGCCACAAAACAAGAGCCGGCTGTAGGAAATGCAAGTGTCATGTACCTCGGTGACTTCTTCTTAAATTAAATATGAAGTGGAGTCTTTGCTTTTTTCTTCGTTCTTAAAAAAGAGGCTTATTTAGGAGGAGTAAGTGCTTCTTGTGTTCCATTCTCTTCACTGTGACGGACTGTGGGAAGAAGAGTGATATAAGGCACTGGCACTGGACCCCATGTCCATGTATCTGATCAATATCTCTTCTCTTGGATAATAATTTAGTCATTTTATCTGCTGACAATCCCTGCAAGTGATCATCTGACAATTTGGAGACTACTACTATTAAACTATTCAGCAAACCGACCAAATCGTACTTCCACTGAATATTATCCTCCTACTTCCGTCTCGAGCGTGGCCGCGCCATAGATCAATAGGTTAGTCGCTGGCTTCCCACCGCGGCGGCCCAGGTTCGATTCCGGGTCTGGTCAAGTGGGATTTATGGTGGACAAAGTGGCGCTGGGGCATGTTTTCTCCGAGTACTTCGGTTTCCCTTGCTAATCTTCATTCCACCAATTGCTCCACAATCACCCTCACCTATCATCTGGGGCTGGCACAATAGGCCATAAGTGGCCTCAGTACAAGGGACCTAGTCCTACCCCACTAGCAATAAAAAAAATACGTCTCGAGTGACCCGGGATAGCTCAGTTGGTACTGCGACTAGGCAACGGGTTGGAAAACCAAGGAGTTTGGGTTCCATTAGCGGTAGGAGCAAGAGATTTTTCTTTCCCCCATAACGCCCAGGCCCGACCTAGGGCCCACCTAGCCTTCTTTACAATGGGCATTTTGGTTGTTTCTGCGGTGGTAATGCAGCAGAGGCTGGAAGGTAACCACTCACCTCCATCTAGTCCAGAGTTCCACAATGGTGGAGCTATATCTCCACTATCCCATATGCCTTCATGGTGTGGTGCTTAATTAGTTAAAGCCCGGGGATAATTTCAACTTGTATTAATGTCTCGGTCTCCTAGCTGGTTTCATCATCGTTGCTCCCGCTCATGCTGCACGTCCAGCCTGCCATATCATTACAGGATAATAACTTCATATGTATTCAAACTTGTAACTTACTATTTCATTTCTTATATATTCTTGTATCTCAATTTTCTTTCTCGTCCTCTCAAAAAGAACAGTCTCCTCATGCTCATGAAAGATTTTTTCTCTTAGTGGGGTGACACTGAGTCCACCTGGTACTGCGGCCACTTCTAGCCTACTGTACCAGCCCCAGATGATAGATGATGGTGACTGTGGAGCAACTGGTGGAATGAAGATTGGCAGGGGAAACAGAAGTACTCGGAGAAAACCTGCCTCAACGCCACTTTGTCCACCACAAATCCCATATGACCAGACCCGGGGGGAAGCCAGCGACTAAGCGCCTGAGCTTTGGCGCGGCCGCGTGAAAGATTAAGTCGGAGGGGTAGAATCTGTACCTCGATTTGGATAGGCAAAGTGAATTTTGTGTCTTGTTCTAGCGTTCAGATCTCCCAACTACGATAATGTTAAGATATGGAACAAACCGAGCAGCCTCTATCTTACAGTACTTATGAGGGACTGCAACGAGTTTGATCCAGTTATAGTACCTATTTATAGGTACTACCTACAACACTTACTAACTTGTTTGTGACCCTCTGACCACTCCTTGGGGGTAGTTATAAAAGCAGGGTGCTGCATGACCGACAGGCGTAACACCTGAGCTCACTGAAGAAGATTACTAAGAAGAAGAGAAACCAAACATGAAGTAAGAACAAAAATAAACAGGCGCTGTGTTTGGATACGGGATATCGCTAACAGTACCACGCCACAGATGATGAGATGCTGTGTTTGTATTGCCTCTGCCCATTGTTGGAGTCCAGCGGCGGCAGCTGGTGCTGCCACTAGCTGACGTCACCACAGTCATCACAAGAGCAAGAGTAGCACAAGGGGAGGCGTGATAGTGAATTTCTTCTACTCTAGGTTCGAATAATTTTCATTTAGCTTATCATCAAGAGGATCCATCGTCTCCATGTACTACCGCGACTAAGAATGGGTGGAACTTTACCATTATGGCCCTTATATGCTTCGCTAGCGCAATGCTGAGACACGGGAATAGTTTTCAAAGAAAAGGAACGCTGAATGATGTATCGCTGTTCATGGTCCAGCGTCTGAAATGTACTTAGCGGCGGTCATGGGGCTCACAATTGCAATTGTTCAAGCGAAGCAAACAACATACATTAGGTCTCAAGCGGAGGATATGTCTGTATATCACTGAAAAACGACTCAAGAATTTCAACGAGGTTCTTTTAAGCTATTAAAAAGACATCTTACAACATAATTTCGGATAATTGGGCCTCTCATTTTACCTGAAAATCGCCACGTTCTGTGAAAGAGATATAATCGTCAACGGTACATAGAGTCTAACACACAAGGCTTCGCTTTACCTTGTAGCTATTCGAGTCTCGCTGAGAAATTTCGTGATTTTCACCAGTCCTTCCACTGAATGCCCAATAAGTACGACAGAGGGACTAGAGTGAACGAACAGTTCATATGTAAGTTTTAATCACAGGCCTACTACCTACTGCTTTCGATATAAAGCCTGGTAGACTAGCTCAGCATCCCTGTACTTACCTGGAGTGGTCCAAGTCCCTCTTGTTGCCCAGCAGCAGGGTCGTGAAATAGGACGGCAGCTTCAGCTTTCCCAGTTTGTCCAGTAAATCGTGGGCGTCGTTGAAGCTATTCCGGTCGCAGACGCTGTATACAATCACGAACGCCTCGCCCCACCTGATGTGGTCGTACAGACATCCTGTGGTCTGTAACAGGAAGTCACCATCATTAGAGTCACTTACGAAGATATCGTCAGGCCATGTCTAATAATACTGTTAAAAGTGCATCAACTTTCCCGAACACTTAGAATTACGTAAGGAAAAGGTCGGTCACGGTAGCCGAGCGGTCTAAGGCATGCACTGTCTTCGCTCGCTCGGATGCCGGGATCGTGGGTTCGAATCCCACTAGGGCATGGATATTTGTGTGCGTTTTTCTGTGTTTGTCTACAGGTAGAGGCCTTGCGGCGAGCTGATCACTCGCCCAAGGAGTCCTACCGCATGTGTAAGATCTAGTAAACCGAAGTGAAACGGAGAGTTTCATGGAGGTAGGCTTAGGCCCAAATTGGGGCTGTAGCGCCACAGAAAAGAAAGAAAAAGAAAAAAGGAAAAGGTAAAGTTGTCCCATTTAATTGGGGGAAACTGTTACCCATGACATTGGTGACGTAATCAGAAACACAGGACATGTGGACTGGTACATGCGAGCTTATCTACAGAAATTCCATTAAAGAAATCATAGGATCCCGTCCGAATTATCATAAGCAAGAAGAGCCTGTATAAATAAATATAACACGAAGAGTATGTATGGATATACAGACAAAGAAATAAGCAAAATGGTCATAGGAATCTCCATGAATTGTGCCAATAGTGCCACTGCGCCCGTCTGCAACGAACAACTTGGACACTAGAGAGCAACGTTCCGCTTCAGTGTTACAACCGTCCTTGCTTCTCTGATCGTTATGTGCCTATTTCATCGATTTATGGATTGTTGAGGCGTCGGTTAACCGTTCATAAATTTCCTGCCATATTCGAAGTGTAGAAGATAGTTCCATAATTTTAGTCACTTCATTAAAATAAATTCCATAAAACACGACAGCCCTAATATTTAGACTGTATCATTTACATAAGCAAGTAGCGTTTTATGTTACGTTCATGTTGAATCATCTTAGAGGCTGGATAAAAATATTTACATATACATTTTCTGTGAACGGAAGGCCGCTCATTACAGCAGCCATATACTCGTACGTTAACTTCTGACACTCCTACGGTAAGTTCGGCTGTCTTAACAGATTCATCCGCTGTTTACAAGAGCTGTGACTTTATATTTCAATGCTTTTAAGAATACTATCTTTGGGGTATAACGCACTGTAGTCCGTCGAAAGTCAACCGACGTTTCAGAGGAACACATCGCCCCCCTCAACGTCGAGAATTAGACGAGCAAGAACGCAAAGTGAAAGCAGGTGGCAGGCAAGCTCTGCTTGTGGTTGAATTTCAACGGACTACACGGTGTTGTATCATAACCACCGCTGTCACATCATCAGATCAATATCAGTTTACATTCAGCATATTCACGAATTCTGCCATGTCCAGGTCCACTTATTAGAGTTTCCGAATTTCAACTCCGCGGTCTTGCCGTAAAGGTTCGGCCACAGAGCGCTACGTACGCTATGTTCGCTATACGAACAGAAAAATATCTCCCTTTATTGCCAATGTGACTGGCCACACAGACTTCCGTACGCTACGTACGCTATGTTCCCTATGTTAGCTGCGTCGCAGAGTGTACACAGCGTACGTATCGTACGTAGCGAAAATAGCGTAGCGCTCTGTGTGGCCGAACCTTAAGAGACGGCAATCAACGAAGTGTCGGACACGTTGGATTTGAATAGTTTTATCTTCTACGATATAAGAGCAAGTAGTCCGGAATTCGACCGACGTTTTGGAGGAACATATCACCTTTATCGCGGTTCTGCTTGCTGCCTGCTTCACGCTAGTTTCTTGCTTGACTTAAAGTTCGATACTGAAGATGGAGGCGACGTTTCTCTGAAATGTCGAATGACACAAAACTACGCGGTGTTATATCCAAAAGATGGAGCTCTTCAACATAGGACAGACTACCACAGAGACCAATGCCCGTATGGCAGAGATTTTGCGTACCTCAAGACCACTGCAACAGCGGAAACCTTTATAGAGTTCCTCGAAACATCATCTAAAAGCGGTTACGATTTGGTCATCGGGTTTAGGGGTCGTACGAGAGACGTTCAATTCATTCATCTGTGGCTCTACAGCCCTTTTGGAGCTTGGCCACTTTTTCAGTTTATTTATCTTTTACACATTCGTTAGGACTCCTTGGACGGGGGATGAGCCCGACGCAAGGCCGTTACCTACACACCGAACATAAACACAGAATAAACGAACGCAGACATACATGCCTCAAGTGGGATTCGATCCCACAGGTATGTTATAACCACCCGTCTCGGTACATACCGTATAAGCTTGAATATAAAGACACCATATCTTTCCAGCGATAAAATCAGACTTTTTTCTTGACGAAACGGAATATGTCATTTAGTTCTGAGGGTTACTCGTCGTACTCATCTTCTTCGCATTTATTCTTAAGTTCCCGAAAATAAGGCGACCCCTCTTATCTAAATA